GGGAAGTGGGGAAAGTGGGGAGGAGGTATCAGAGGATCAAACCTGCAAAGGCTGCAAGGATGAGGACTTGAGATCCCAAGTCTGACTTGTACTTCAGGAGTACTCACAAGAGGAGTTTTCTACACGTATGTGACTGTAATTGCTGCTAGATTGAGTAAAAAAATGTGGTAGTGTGACTATATGCTCTTTTTTTTTTCTTTTTTTTTAAGCGAAAATAGCCCTTGCGTAAGCCCTCTATCCGGGCGGTGGTAAGAGAATCGTCAGAATTGAGGGCTTAATCTGTCGGGCTGCTCCATCTATTATTGGTGGGGGGAGCGGCACCTGCTGGAAACCGGGTCCATCGTCCCATTGATACATCTTGTAGCACGGAGATTGCTGTTTGTTGTGTTTCCTGGGGCTGTGGCCATTTTTGTCTCAGCCCGGGGCTCCGTTGTCCCATGGAGCTGCTAGTATCACCCATCCCTTCTTGGATCGCACCTTGTCTATTAGCCCAGCCCTATTTCAGCAGACCCCTACAGCTTGTGAATCTTGCGTCATTTGCATAACTCAACCCATAAACAAAAATACACATCGACACAGAAAATGCACTGAAGCGACTGAAAATTTCACTGAACAATTAACCCCCCTTAAATGGCACGTGATTTATTTTTTTAAAGATGTGTCACGGGTACCGAGTCCTGACAAGGTACCTTCGTGCGATCCATCCTCAGTGTCAGGTACACTGTCCAGCTGCCAGAGGATCGTGCAGCTCTGCTAATGATGCCACGTGGATCTAGGTCTTCAACAACTAAGACCCCTCGCTGACCGCCCCCCCTCAGCCGCCTTGCCGACCAAGCCCCCTTCTCCACCTCCCCCCCCTCTCCCCCCTGACAAACCCTTACCCTTTTTCAGATCCTGCTCTCCTGACCATACCCTCACAACTTTTTTTTTTTTTTTTTTTTTTGTAAAAGAAAACGCATCAACATAATGAACAATAATAACAGGTTTAAGTCTTTCAGATGATTTCAGAGCTAAGTTGCAGCCAACAACAGCCATTGATAATCTGCAAAGATTAACAATGACTAGCGACCAACAGAGAGATGGGATGGGGGAAATCGAGGAGGAAGATCGTGTTAGCAAACACTGAACACTTCCAGGAATAGAAGCCAAGAAAAGGTGGAGGGCGGGGTTGGGGCAGGGGAAGGGGGAGGGGTGGGGTGGGGTGGGCAAGGGAGGGGGCACAGAGAGGTGAAATTGCCAAAAGAAGAAAGAGGAGACAGAAAATCGATGAAATGTCACCTGGCAGTACTGCTGGAAAATTTTGTTCCCTTCAAACTTCCGCCGTTGCTTCCTGAGCATCCTGCGGTCGATGGGTGGGACCGGGGGCTTGAGCTTGAGACCATTTTGCTCTCCCTTTGGAGCACGGGCAGTGTTAAGCTGGTACAGTGGAGGTAGCTTGACAGACATTTTTTTTCACAGCTAGCACCTTGATCTTCGTGCAAGCACCATATATAGGAACAGGAACACAAACACGAACACGAACACGAACATGAAACAGGGACAAGAGCAGGAATAGGAACAGGAAAGAAGCCAGAACAGGAACAGGAAGAGGAACAGGAAGAGGAACAGGAACAGGAACAGGAACAGGAGCAGGAGCAGGAACCAGAACCGGAACAGGAACCGGAACAGGAACCGGAACAGGAACACGGACAAGAATAGGAACAGGAGCAGGAAAGAAACAGGAATAAGAATAAGAACAGGAACAGGAACAGGAACAGGAACAGGAACAGGAACA